AAGTTTTTTTAGCGTCTTTCTCATCCAAAACAGGCGTCTGTAGCCTCATTTTGGCGGTGTACCACAAGGGTAATCTGATTTACTCTACCCCTCAACCCAGTTAGCCGCTCAGCTGAGGGAGAGCCAGTGTGTGGACAGGATGTTAGAGATTCAAAAAACCGCAAGACCACCAACCAGAGTCTTTAAAAAAAGTAGTAAGATCATGTTGATCATGACAAAAGCCTTGAGCCACTTCAGATGATGGCATAATTGCGCAGTGATGTTGGGCGACTGGCCTTGTCTCCATCCGTTATCAGTTTATCAGAAGGAGACATAAGAGACCCTGTACTGTTTGAATAGAGGGCGTAAACCTCTGCAGTGTTGTTTATCTTTCCTGGGGAAGGGGACTGTTACAGCTAGATCAGCATTAATTGGCTTCAAGTTGATGTACGTAAATGACCTACATGTAATAAACGCCCACTTCCAAATAAACGCCCCTTACATAATAAAAGCCCCCCTGTACATTATAAAAAAATTATTAGACGCCCGTTTCTAAAACACGCCTCCCGTCTGGCTAATAAACGCCCTTTATGAGAATTAGTCCAGAATACTGGGAATTCGCAGAAAGGTGCAAAATTATTCAGTTCACTATGTTTATTACTTGATAAAGAAGGCTTTGCGTATTTCAACTTGTTCCATCTCAAGTTTAAAGTAAGTAGAGCCTAACGATGGCAACACAATAACAATGAGCGAGGAGTTCTGACGTCAATGTGGTGATTTCAAAGAGTTATAGGGAGCTTAAGCAACGACGACGGCGACGTCAACAAGAACGGCAAAAAAGCAATAGGTTTAGATTGGTAAAACAACAACTTTGCACGTGCATCACGTCTTTTTGTACATTTCCTTGCCGTCACTGCACAACTACGACGTGAAAATACCTAATTTCACGATCTGTCGAGGACGAGAACACAAGACAACATTTTTCCTTTTCTTTTCCTGAACTTTGATATAGCAGCGCAAATTCACTTTTTAAGCGACGTTTTCGTAGCCGTCGCCGGCGTTGTTGCTTAAGCTCACTAATATGGATCTCTAGAAGGCCTTGATATTTTTGTGGAAAGCATATTAATTTTGTATTG